TTATAGGCCTAATCAATAAATTCCTCATCAACCGATATAACCTTAAACATTCTTAGAATTGACATAACATTACTGATGTTGTACACACCCTTGAGTGTGAAATGTGGCTCTCTTTGCAAGCACATCTAAGGAAAGAAGAGCTTACATTGGTACCAGATAAAATAATTTTGTTATCAACATTAATACATTATGCTAATTTTCATCTTTGTAAGCGCATAAGACAGTGCAAATTATTTCTGTGACAGTCTTTTGAAGTGTGTAAAACTCCATTATTTTTATCCCATACATAGTCAAAATATTGGGGGATGATACAATGGACCATCCCCCTTGTCAAATATTGGGGGGATATATCCCCCATCCCCCTGGGATCTACGCCTATGATTTATAGTTGGCTAACTAGTTGAAATACTGGGATAGTTAAAAAGGCGGTATGAAAAGGACCTGTCCACCTTGCCACCTGCCACACAATGTCAACGCTTAGTACGATGGAATACTGTTATGTCATTCTATTCCCCTACGTTTATTATTAAATATTGGCTACCTTTACCTTACGAGGAGGAGGAAAGCCCAAACCAAAAAAGTTTCTACACGTTAAAATATTATGACAGTACTGCATTATATATTATCTATATAGATGACCCCTGCTCACCAAGTCCCTGCTTCAACAATGGTGTCTGCAAATGGAATGAGACGGATAACACGTTTACATGTAACTGTGCTGGAACAGGTTACCAAGGAGATTTATGTGAAGATGGTAATGTTTATTTTCAATTTATGTACGTTAGGTGATTTAAATACTTATATCGAAACTCCTAAATAGCAAACATTCTTTTTGGCAGGTTGTGTGTTTTGGTTTTTGTTGGTTCATTTGTTAGATGTTATTTCAGGGTCATAGACGTTATTTGGTATATTGTAAAATATCATTGACATGTTATTTATAGTGAAAGGAATGTTAGGCTTACATGTTAAAAGAACAATGGTTGAACGTCCCTGGCAAATATAATAGAAATAGCAATACAATAACATAATGACACAACAGGCCGTCAGTGGCAAGAACTGAACAATGTAATTATTACTGACGACAGCATGGGCAATGACAAAAGGAAACACAACTTTTATTTCCTTTTAGTAGTATTATTAGCAGTTTCATAGCTGAGTTGAGAGGAGTATAGTTCATTCTTCTAAAACTGTAGTTTGCCACTGTGTATGCAATGAACCTTAGAATTCATTTGATACCTGCTTCTATTCAATTCACTGCTCTAATTGTATTTAGACTGGAGGTTTAACATTCAAGTATAAAAAGGCGCTCCATATTTTAAGGCTGAAGCCGTTGGTCCCTTCAGTAATATGGTCTATGTGCACGTTAAAGGACGCAGTTATTATTATATAAAAATTATTTTTATAATGATATGTTGCATGATATAATATAGATAAAAACCCGTTTATTTTCATTTACAATGCTTTCCCTAACTACTGTAGTTAATTATTTCAACAGGTGAGCCTACTATTGTTTTTCCAATTAATTTTTCTTCATTAAATGATTTGTAGCTGCCAGACATCATATCGCTGAATTTTGAAAGTCTCACTCAATATGGCGAGAAGGCAAAAGTCGCCTGCAAAGCTATTCTGGAAATTCGAAATTTTTGCGTGTTTATAACTACTGTATTATTGTCTAAAGTGAGCTAGTCACTGGTATTACCACGCACAAAACAATAATGTGCAAAGAAACCATCCTTCTCAGTTGCGGATTGAACGTTCACCACCGCAACCCCAACATGAAAAATAAACTGGACGGGCTGAGGTGATAGACCACTCCTTCTTTAAAAGTCCCTTCCTGGCTCTCATAAAGTTATCCACATTATCCCATCAGTATGACGGGTTACAGCTAATTGTGGATATGTAAACTACAATTATTTTTCTCAGATAATATGTGTTTCCCTAATCCTTGTTCAAATGATGGTGTGTGCAGTGATGATGACAACGTCGGTACGTGTGATTGTAGTGGGACAGGCTTTCAAGGCTTCCGTTGTGATAAAGGTAATTTGTATAAAGTTTGATTTGTCACTTTAAAATTAATTAGTGTATTCGATGATTAATAAGCTGCTAAAGTGTTTTTGGAAACATGTATCTATAAGGAGTAAACAAAAAAATAAAGATAAAAAAGAAAACTGAATCTCAATGTCCACCTGGATTCGAACCTGGTAACTGTTAATTACAAAGCAAAAGGATGAATTTTAAATGTAGATAAGTGATTTTTGTCTGAAATTACTAATACCCATATTTATATTCACTGTAATAGTGAAATTACACACAAAAATTAGCATATCGACCTTTAACCCAATGTTCAAACTCTGGTTCCAAATCCACCACTGCCGCCTTACCTTCAAATTAGGTTTGTCATTAAAGAAAGTAGTAGCGCAACTTGCAAATATGCAATGTAATTTAGTGATTGTTGACTCGCAGGATCCATTCCCCTAACTATAAAGTGACGTATCAATTTTCAATAATTTTGAAAGAATGACAGTTTCAATTTTTGCACTTCCAATCTGTCGTTTTGGGGACTTTTTTTTTCAGAGTTCGCATGTTTCAATCCGAAATGCTTCGCCGAATATACGCTTTACTTTTTACCACACATGGTACTTTTTGAACACAATACAAGTAACAAAATAGTATTTATACGTTTTATTTGAAACTACTGATACTGTATATATGACAATCCATACTTAAAATAATGTGTTTGATCCATAGTATATTAGAGAAAATGAAATTTAAAATAACTCTTTGTCGACGGTGACCATATTAACAAACCACTAAATCTGCTTATCATACTCTATTAGAAGTTATTACTTTGTAAATATATATAATGTTACATGTATTTTTTACCCATAATAAAGCTAAAATTATAATAAATAATTGTTATGCAATGTATTCAGTGTGGTCATTTGACTATGAAGTTTATCCAGTGCATAGACAAAAAAAAAAAAAAAAAATAAGTACTGTCGATTGTCCCAACTTATCAGCAATTGCTGGATTGATTCCAATGATCAAACAAAGAAACCTATTGTGATTATCCAGCGACTGTTTCATATAGAATGATATGATACATTTTAGCGAGAGGGGTATCATTACCCAGGAAACCATCCGGTAGGAATATGATGGTTGCCGTCCATTAGATGGAATATGAAATTGGGCCTTCTGAGTAGTTTGAGGCCACACTGACATAGCCACTTTTACAACCTTTTTAAATATGCAAGCTAGGGTATCGATGCATGTCCATTCGCTCATATTTTTTTTCAGTACACATAAGCATTATAGGCCATTCAGAACATAGGAACCATATATTCAGGTTTGGAACGTAGGCCTAAATACTTTACATGGCACTCCAAATTCATACCCGAATCTATTCCCACCAAAATTTAATAATTATATTTCATGTAACTTTTTTAACACTTCCAGAAATTTCCATTCATAATTGTTATTACGTCATTTTTTAAATATTTAGTGTGGGGTGTTTTTCTATAAAGGGTCCCTTATCCACATCTCGCTACGGATCGTCACAAAAATAAAAAAGAATCTCCCATTCAATGTCAAAAAAAAAAATGACTAATTTACCATTTTATGTATTGTCTAAAAGGTTTTATTTTGATTTCCTCTGTTTAAAGTTGACCCTTGTAGTCCTAATCCTTGTATTGCGGGTGTTTGTAGCAGCCTCGATAACGTAACAGCAACGTGTGACTGCAGTGGGACAGGAATGCAAGGTGATTACTGTGAAACAAGTAAGTGAAATGATTTTCATTGTTCTTTTCAGGCCATTTTTAATTTTATAGTACTTTCGTTTAATGTATATTATAATTATTCTTGTATGAATACAAATGCTAAAAAACCTAGTCAATAAATCAGAAAAAATGAAACTAATCATTTAACATGATGTAATAAGGGATACCAAAATTTAGAAACACCCATATCTCAAGAATCTTGGTTTAGTTTAATAGTTATTAAAACGCCACCTCATTTTAAGTATTATCTGGTGTATGCATTCCGTTTCTTCTTCTGCCTGTTTTCATTGCTTCAGTTATTGTTTACAGTCCTTAATTTTCAGTGGTATATATCGTAATTTGTAAAATTCATGTTACATTACAACACATCGGCAAAGGTCCGCTCATAAACAAATAACAGTAATAATAACAATATAACAATATCAAGTAATATACTATTATTTGGTTCTGTTTTGGTCAGTTTGCGGAGCTTTGTAGAAAGACGTACGGTACATTCATGTCCAGGATTTGATGTTTAATCCCATGGTATTTAGCTGCAAGCTTATGCTTATAATTTCTTTTTAGCAAACAAGCGATTTAATTCTCCTAATGTTAATTTGAAGATGATATTTTAGGCTTTCTTTAAAGACATTTTGCTAGAGAAGTCGGAGGTAATTTTTATTATTCAGTAAGAAGTGCTACGTCATTGGCTTCACATCTCATGCTATAGGCTATAATATCTAATAACCTAATTTCTTTTATTGACCTTTTCACTGTCCTTCAAGGTTTATACAGATCGGCATAAGTTTTTTTTTTGTTTTTAATATATATAGATAATCCTTGTTCTCCCTCACCCTGTTTGAATGCTGGGGAATGTACTGTCAACGGGAATGGTAGTTACACGTGTAATTGCACTAATACCGGCTATTTTGGCATCGATTGTGACATATGTAAGTAGGCCTCTTATAAAGAAGAATGACAGACTCATAAACATATTATTATTATTATTATTATTATTATTATTATTATCATCATCATTACTGTATTATTATTATAATTTATATTATTCCTATTGATAGGGGTATTGTTTTTGATATTCATATTATTATTATTAATTAAATTATAAAGAAGAATGGCAGACTCAGAAAAATTATTATTATTATTATTATTATTATTATTATAAATAAATAATAATAAGATTTACAAAGCGCACAAATCCACTGCAATAGTGCTCAAGGCGCTACAGGAAGGAACAAAAACTTACCATGAACCTAAATCTACAAGAAACGAAACACCACACCATCACCGCACCGTTTACATGCAATTTAAGGCACAGGGCCCCCTATTCATTTACTCACAGGTGCTTAAGAAATGGGAGTATCTAACTAAAACAATTAAGCAAGCAAGCAAAACAAACCAGAAAAAGCAGCCGACAGCAGATGCGTCTTGAGTAGACTGACACGAGCGAATATTTATTGGCAGATTATTCCAAAGGCGCGGAGCCACAACAGCAAATGATCGATCACCCCATGAACGTGTAGACATAGACTCAACAAGCAGAAGTTTGTCAGTACCAAAGCGAAGCATTTCACGAAGGTACCCAGGACCTTCATCTCTCAGAGTCTTAAAAGTAATGAGCAAAATCTTGAAAATGCTCCTGAAAGAAACAGGTAGCCAATGAAGTTCTTGTTCTGCAACAGTTGAAGGCGATGCATGGATCTCTTAGAAATACCAAAAAAGAGAGAATTCTCAAAGTCAAGATATGAAGTAACGAATGCATGAATCAGTTGTGCTTTTGCTTTCCTAGAGAGGTACTTCGTAATCCTTCTTATATTGCGCAAGTGATATGTTGAGGAGCTAGTAATTTTGGAAATATGCCTATTCAATGTCATTGAAGAATCAAGTGTAATACCCAAGTTCTTAACTTGAGGTACCTGATCGATCTGACATTCACCAATGTTGAAGTGGAGGTCTTGGCATTTCTTCCTTTGTTGAGAGTAACCGAAGATGATAAATGCAATCGTGTCCTCATTTAGTTGCAGAAAGTTTTCAGACATCCAGGTCTTCAACTCAAAAATACAATTTATGAGAGATTCTACATTTACATCAACTTCTTCGGAATTATTATTATTATTATTATTATTATTATTATTATTATTATTATTATTATTATTATTATTATTATTACTGTATTATTATTATAACTTATATTATTGTTATTTATATTATTATTATTATTATTATTATTAATATTTTTAATGTTATTATTTTTACTAGTTTTATTAAATTGAATTTTTTTTTATCTTTCATTTAGAAATCTTTATCAAACAATATGCCGAATCTAAAAATATACATAAAATATGCCAAGAAAGTGCCTAGACACAACAGCTACAATTTCATATGAAAGTAAAAAAAAAAATGAAAACATAATACTGTAAATACAAGAAAAAAAGCTCAATCTCATAACTGTGTTTTCCAAACAAGAAAACCATAATAAAACATAGTAGTGGCATTTAATAGTAATACGATACGATATATTATATTAGTCCAAGAGGAAATTAGATTAATGAGTGCTAGTATTAATTGTAGTAGTAAGTAGAAACAACAGTAGTAGCTGCAGCAGTATTAGTAGGATTATTTAAGTTGCTGTTCTTGTACACTATGCAAACAACAATGTGCGACATATTATTATACCTACATGCATTTCTTACTATTATTTTTCATATTATCAACTGAATTGGGACGAACATGTTTTATTAATATTCAAAGGCTTCTAAATTTTTACTATCGCAAACTTATCAAAATATAAACTCCTAGTATATTTACAAAAGGAAAGTGTGAATTGCTTGAAGGGTAAATGAGCTACTACTCTTTTTTAACTTTATTTATTTTTCTCATAAAATAAATGTATTCTTCTTCTAGCTGTTGCCGAAGATATATGTTACGATTACCCTTGCCAAAATTATGGAATTTGTTCATACGATGCAATGATAAATACCTACACCTGTGATTGCTCTTCGACTGCATATGTTGGGAAAAACTGTACAATTCGTAAGAGACCTTTGTGTTTTATAAATAATTAAAATAGACATTCTGCTATATATATATATATATATATATATATATATATATATATATATAACAGATAATCCACAGTAATCAATAGGAACATGATGTAATAAATCGTATAAAACATAGTTCATCAACAACAATTTCTTATTATATTTGTATAAAAAGAGGTCTCTGGTGGAGATCTCGGCGAGGTCATGCAGTTAGGACTACAGAGGTCTGTACGGTATCCTTACAGATCTAAGGTCACTAGTCTCTCCCTTTATACACATAGTGGAGAAAATGTTTAAGCTACGTAATGTCTTATAGGTATCAGCTGGAAAAATCATAGGAAATCATACTAAAATAGATAACAATACAGTGCTCAAATATATAGCAACATACTGTTATAAATTGTATCAAACATAGTTCTTCAACCGAAGTATATCAAGATGATTTTTGATATATATTAATTTTTAGGTAATAACTGTGTTGGTCCCAATCCCTGTAACAATTCTGGAGTCTGTAATATTACTTCACATGATTACTCCACCTATGAATGTCTCTGTGCTGGAACTGGTTTTCTTGGAGAAAACTGTGAAATCGGTAAGTTATGTTAATATACATTAAAATAATAGCAATAAATTTAAATAGCAAAACAATAATGCAAATTCCACAGGATGCCTACCCGTCTTCGCCCTGGCGCAATCCCTAGATGACCGGGCAAAGGAACAGAGAACACTGCCATTCCATTGACGACCTGGTACTCAAAGACAGTGACCGAGACGGTGGCTCCCAAAAGATAATGCAGACCATTAGAAAAGGGTAATACAGAGCAAATCATTAAAACTAATGAAACAGATGCGTTTTAAGTCTATTTATAGACGTACCACACTTTGCAGTCTTAATCATAATACAATAATTCGTTTTATTTCGTCTATTTAGATGACCCTTGCTCACCAAGTCCATGTTTAAACAACGGCGTTTGCGAATTGAATGAGACCGATTACACTTACGTTTGTGACTGTGCTGGAACAGGTCACTATGGAGTATTGTGTGAAGATGGTAATGTTTTTAAATAATTGTAAAATTTGGGGTTTTTACTATTGCTTTATACATTTTCTTCATTTTTGCTATATCAGTTATATGAGCAGATGTTATATGTGTGTACGTATGTATGTAAAGTAAAAGTATGCGTGTATGTATATGTACACTATGTATAAATTAAGCATTTAAAAGGTCATTTCAGTAATACTGAATTGTAATGCTTCACTTTCAATTAATTTTCAAAGCTACTTATAGCGATAAACATAAAATAATAAATTAAATAAAATATATTATAAATAGGTTACATAAAATGTGGTAAAAATAATAATAGTAAATGCTGAAACATGATCAAACAAAACATAATCATAAAAAAAATCATACGGAAACTAGATCATACTAATAATCTGCGACAGAAATAGATATAATTGTCAAGAATGACATAAATTCATATTAAGGTACTCCATAATCACATAGAATTAATTTTCATATAAATTATTAATTAATAATAATAGTTCATAGTAATAAGAACAAAGTAATTTCTTACTAAGAAGAATGTTATTTCTTTGCAGATAATGTTTGTTCCCCAAATCCTTGTTTCAATGATGGCGTATGCACTGACACTAACAACGAGGTATCGTGTGATTGTAGTGGGACAGGATTTCAAGGTTCCCTGTGTGGTTTAGGTAATATATATATATATATATATATATATATATATATATATATTTGTGAATTTTCTGTTTACGCTACAGTGGAGTAGTATAGTGACCCCTTGAAGATTTTGCATTTTTGTTGACCCAGTTTTTATATTTTACTTCATATTTTTTTATACACGTTTTTTGTTTTGTTTTATGTGATTAATGCGCATAGAAGCTTTTTGCTTTACGCGCTTTATAAATGTAACATTATTATTATTATTATTATTATTATTATTATTATTATTATTATTATTATTATTATTGTTATTATTATTATTGTTATTATTATTACTAATTTAGTGTAATAATATGATTGCCTCACAGATTCAAGTAATTCAATAAAGAATTATGCTACAGCGCTATACAGAGGTTTACTGTTAGTTAAGGGAGCAGCTTGCCTCACCCAGAAAGCAGCTTAAGCTCAGCCGCCTAAACTGGTGGTAGCCACTGCTTGTGTGGTGTGACGTAGAGATTATTTGGTACCCAGTTCAATTCCACCATCTGTTTTAGCTGTGTTTCTGTCGGAGGGCTAAAATAATATGCTACAATAGGGCATTGTCATTTAGATTAGACATTTAAGCCGTTAGTTCCGTGTGCACTACGGCCTATTAGTACACACTTCGAAAGTGAGTCAGTGATTGTTTCCTCCAGTTGTAGTGCCCAAATCACCACCCAATTAGGAGCAAGTCTTTAGACATAGTGTGCTATCCTTGGAGTGATTCACACGAAAAATACTCCTACTTAGCTACTTGTAATATAATTACAAATCAAATGTTGAATTGATTTTTTTTTGTACTCATATGAACATTTGCACACACGGCAACATTTATTATAATTGAGTGTTTCCTGTGTCGTTGCCTATTCCAAAAAAATTAATAAATGAAATTTTTTTTTTAAATTAAATAAAATATGCCAGCACTTTAAAAATTGAGGTGAAGAATGCATCAAGATAGACACACACACACAATAAGTTGTAAATTGAAATCTGATAATTTCATATTTTGTATTTAGATAACCCGTGTACTGGAGCAGAATGTCAGAATGGTGGAACTTGCATTGACCTAGGAAATGACACTTCCTCTTGTAATTGCACTGCAGTTTATGAGGGTGATACATGTGATATTTGTAAGTATTATATTAATTTCGTAATAGTCATGATTTGTTACGGAATGCTGAGTGACAGGGTATGGACATATGTTTTTTCTGGAAAGATACCCACATCCAGTAAACTACCTGTGCTTATAAAACGTAGTTACAGTTCCAATACGTGAAGGCTTTTTTTTTTTTTTTTAATTGATGAATTGAACTTCTATGATAACGCTGGAAACACACTGCGCCGACGGTGGTCGGCCGAATAAAATCTGCAACGTAACGAGGCCTGAGCAACGGATCGTTTTTAACGACGATAAGGCGTTGCGTCGTCAGGCACTCGCAAAAAGCTGAGATGGATTTTTCGACCGACTGTCCTACCGTGCAGATTGTGCCGGCTTAAAATATAAATATACATACTTAGCGATAAACAAAACAGTATACATTTTAAAACGTTGATTTGTCTTCAACTATCAGGCGACTCTTTCAACCACGTTATGATTCAGCGTCTACATTCGTTTTGGTTGCCGTTCTTATTTTTTTAAAAATTGTTAGTTTTGCTAATTTTAGACCGAATTTTACAATAAAGCCTTGTTTAGCATTATAGTATGGGTAGTCTTTCAATATCTGGTACCTCGCGTACTACTGTTTATGCCCAGGTCTCTAACCACCTATCAGTAATCATCATTTCCTAGTTTAGCAATTTCAATTACATCGTTTATACTGCAGTAATACCTCCTGAGACTAGCCTACTAATTAGACAACAAAAGATAATAAGATGTAATAATAATCCCACCGATAGCTAACAGTTTGAGGTGATTTTTCACTAGGCGGTGTTCGGCAGCGTTAATGGAACAACATACAGTATACTATCATTCTAGTGTCACTTAACTTTTAAATAAACGCACACACTATTTCATTGTTGACTGACTTTTAAACAGTTGTCGTTTATTTTTATCTTCCAACAATGGGTGAAGTACGGTACCTTACACTTATTTTTTCTGAATTCCACTGACCTGGTATTGTGTCTTGTTGTATTATTGTTGACTCTATCGTTTAATAGTATAGTATGTATAGCAAGTGTTAACAAAAACTATTGTAGAATCGCTTACCTGGCTTCAATATTGTCCACAATTAACATATATATTTTTTTTCAGGTCTAGTGCTTTTCCATTTTCTCACCATTCAAATTATCAAACAAAACTCTTTGTTGTATATCAACACCAATTTAATGGGCTCCTAAAATCCGATTTATTGATTACAGGTCACCTCGGTTGAACTGCTCAAATACATTCTCGTTACATTCACAGTAAAACTGAATGAAGTAAAAATGTAGGTCTAAGCACTGTGTATGTCGGCCACAAACTATGATATATTTTATGGCATGTTTGCCATGAAAGAGAGACTATCTGGCTAACAAAAATTTAAACATTTTTATACCGTATGTGTGTAACGAATATTTAAAGTTTTTAATTGATATTTTTTATACATTTTGTGTGTATGTATATACGTTCTTGTATGATTTTATATGTTTTTTACTTGTTCATGTTCTATATACTCTCTATAGAGTAACACATCAACTTTTGATAAACCATTTTTCGTTTTAGATAATCCATGCTTACTGGATCCATGTATGAATGGTGAATGCTATTTATTGAATAATAGTGCCACATGTAATTGCACCGGAACTGGATATACTGGCATTAATTGTACAAAAGGTAGTCTATTTATTTTCGGTGAAATCGACCGAGTTCACTTTCTTAAGCCTGTTTTCTACTAATCAAAGGCGTCGGTTCTGTTCCAGAGCTTGAGGTGCAATTTTTTCTCTTCGAACCACCGATTTTTGCTGAAGCGAAAACTCCGAGAGAAATGTGAATGCGCATGCACATGAACCGACGCTTTCGACTCGCACGAATACATTCTTCGCAAGTGGAGAACAGGCTTTATGCATTTTTGAGCTCAGTTAATCACTCACATAATGTGTATTCCATTTTGTATTTTTTTCCCTAAATGGATAAAGATTGCTGTGTGAAAACAGGCACAGGGTGTGGGGGACTTTGCCCACCCTATATACCTGTCCGTGTTATATTTGCAGTATACATTTAATGAGCGATTATATGATAATTATATTGAATTTACTGCAGATTACCAACATTTATGAGACTAATAAGCAAACATAATAATATTTTTCCATTTTTTAAGATGTTGAGAATCCAGATTTATTGTGCCCTGCCAATTTTTCTACTACCAAACCGTTTGAAGACGAAACAAAAACTGTACAAGAATTTAACGTTACAGTTGAGGATAATTCTGGTGAAGTACTTGTCATCACCTCAGATTTTCCAGCTAACGGAACATTTAGCATTGGTCGCACTGTGGTTACATACCAAGCTGTTGATTCTTCTGGTAACATAGGAATGTGTACTGTTATAGTCAATATACAAAGTAAGTATTACCGCGCCTTACGCGCAGTTTACAATTGGCCTGCAAAATGTATACTCACGTCATGAGCGAATTTTAAATCTTTAATTGGTTTTGGGGAAAAATTTTGGGTTATACCTTGCAAGGTGGAGGAAAGGAATTTCAGATAAATGCCCTACTTTTGGAACCGAGAGACCCTCCATCACGTTTTGCAACCTTTCCTGGACCAAGGAACATATACTTTGCGCCACAACATTATTCTAAAATATATGCCTGATGCCTTAAAAATAGGACTTACGCCCCCTGACTCTATACGTTGCGATCTCGTTTCCAGTGCCTAGAATGTCCCTCATCCATCGACGGTCCCCATGGAGTGCACCACAGCCAACCTCATCCCTGACCTCTGCCTATACTTTCCTACATCCAAATCATTGACACTTATCGAACTCTCCATCCCATTTGAGACGGGCATTGCTAATGCCCGTACTTTTAAGTGCAATAAGTACACCACGTTCATTAACGACATTCGACTCCGGACACACTGCTAATTTGCTTGCCATCGAATTCGGTTCACGTGGGTTCATCTTTTATGAAAATAAAAATCGGCTGAAACAATTCATTCCCTCTGCATTATGCCGCTTCCATATAAAGATTTTAAACAAACAATATCTAAACTTGCAATAATCTCTTCTTCCAGCATTTTCCACCACAAAGGTGAACCCACTTGGACCGATCCTCCCTTACTTAAGATTTAAATTTACAAACTTTTCTATTTTTGTCTTAATATTGTAATTCTAGCGGGAATCCGTAGAAGCTAAATGTGCAATATATTGGTGACATCTGTTTGTCTTTCTTTGTTCTTTGTCTTCTTGTCCGTTTTGTCATAGTTTAGGCTCTGCTCCTCCCTTGAGCGTGTTATTCTTTTGAATATACTTTGTCACTTGTCCAGGGAGTATTTAATATGTTTCCTTTTATTTTCCGAAATCACAATTTATACACATTCTATATTTTTATATTGTATATATATTTTATATTTGAAATAAAAGTGATCTTTAATAAATATTAATTATTATTTTATTTAGCCATCATCTGAAAAACGATATCGGGCCATCTCATAAATGCAAAGTCTATTGGATGTTTTTGTCTTCTTACTCTATTTACTTACCATACTTTACCCTTTATAATTTGTAGTAAAATGTTACGCTGCTTTTCCTCTATAATCTTTAAAGACGAAGCGTGCACAATGCTTTTCTTAATGTTGACTACATCTGACGATGGGTACAATATGACACGTGTGTTCCCATGACACTTGCAGATGTTACTCCGGTGTTTATTCCACCCAAGATGCTTCTATACTAACTCCGAGATCCTTTACCGATTCTGCATCTTTAAGAGTGTAGCTTTAGTAGAGATCTTTGTTTGTCACCATTGCTAGAGCATTATTAAGGTCATTTTGGAGTTGGATACCATCTTTTTCCTTATTTATATCCCTATATACAATGACATTTTCTGCAAACACCCTGACAGTTGGTCATCTAATGAAGGAAATGAAAAGTAAAGGTACAACAACGCTACCTTGTCCCACACGGAAATGGATAGGTTTGCTTCCATGGGAGGTGCCATTGAGTAACACTTGTCGTGTGAGCGATTGTATAGGAATTTGTCAATCCATTTGTGGAATTTATCAATTGTTTTTAATGGAACCGAACGCCCTTCCTGAGTCTTCCTCCGCATGAGCGTACACATGTTCAATATATTAATTTTAATAGACTTAATAGACTATTCGCTTTCAAACAAATGTGTAATAGAAGTTGAATAAAAGAAACAAATAAGATGAAGAGACAAAGAGAAAAGGAACAATAAAAACCATAAAAAGAAAAAGAAAATACAACTATATGTACGAGAAAATGGTTTTAAGCCCTTAAATAAGGGAATGAATGGAGATTCCCGTATATTAATGGGAAGAGAATCCCAGAGTATAATCGTTGTACCCAGGGGCGGATCTAGAG